GAACATAGATGACGGGAAAGAAGTGTTTACAGACTGGTACATTGCATAGTCCAAGATTAAAACGAAGTTCGCTGGTTACCCTCTCTTTGTGAGTAAACGTGTAAGGTGTGATATGATTAAATTTCGCAAACGTTTATACGAGATGAAATTTGGCCGAATTGAAAGCGTGGGGGAGGGGTTAGGAACGACAGCTTGTCAGTTCTGCGTGTAATGAGTGGTCTGTTGGATCTGTTGGAATCCTCTCCGCGAATTCCACATCGAAAGTTGTATGATACTTTAAAGGTTTCTCGCTTAACTCGTTCACATGAATAGTCGAAACGCGGCTAATAATACTTAGACCGCGGCTTAAGACTTTGAAATCCTGTTTAAAGAAGCCAAGGAAAATAGCAGATGGACAGTAAAGTCAGATGGAGAAAACGCACTGATACACAAAGGTAAAAATAACTGACCGGGATGCGCGAAGTTGTCTGAGCTTTCGAATTTGAAATGATAAGTGCTCCAGTCAGCCAATGCAGTTGCGGATGTGGGTTGACCATCGAAGATTGTTATCTAACTGTTGTTATCTTAACTATAGTTAAGCCAAGATATCTGACAGAGTTCACCCTAGGTAACGGATTGCTATTAAAAACTGTGGGGTCTGTCGAGTATGAAGAACGTGCAAGACCATATACATCTTCACCACATTTACTGGGGTTTAAGCTTAGCCTCGATAAGTGGGTAAATGACTGAACTTGATCAGTATTGTCGGTGAAAGAGCTTAGATCGAAGGAGGAAGAGATGGATTGGCGCAACACAACATCTATATCCTTATTCAGCTTGTATTGTTTTAGACAGACTTCACAAGTGTTCATATGAATTCTTGAGCGAAAGGCACTAGTTAACTCTGACATTTTTGGAAACGAATTTTAGTGCTGACCAGAGGGGGATTAGTCATCTTGGCCAGAGGCAACTTCCCAACCTGTGAGCTTGCATTTTTTGTACCAAGCTGGACAGTGAGAAACTGCAGTCAGACAAGCTGATGAACCATCAAAAGGTCTCTTGGCACGTTCGAGATAAATAATGTAATCCCGTGAGTAGCGACGACGCATGAAATTGGTTGAAAAAGTGAAAATTCCAAATGTTACGGAGCCAGTCGAAGGAAGCGCTCGTGGTTGATTGCTTTTACTAAAGCTGTTCCCGCGGCGAATTCGCTCTGCATCAGAATAAATCGGCTTCTTGGAAGAAGTAGCTGAGATTCCTAGAAGTATAGTCCAAAGTGGCCACCTCATTAATGGTCAGTGTTATTCTTCGACGGTGGCGTCTCTAACCCCTACACTGTCAATGTTACCTGTTAAAGTGCTGGTGATAGCGATCGCTGTGGTTAACGACGGCTGTATTTGTGCATGCCACGGTACCTTCTGAAAAATACTTATGGCATTTTGTTGCAGTAAGGTCGCTGGTAGTCTAAAAGTTTAATTTTACCTAGTTGGCAGCCCCCTATCCGAGACCTGAAGATGCACCTGGTCTTGTACAGCTACTCGGACTGTATTCTTCAGGTTATCCTGGGGGTTCGAAGCATCTATCCGTGGAAACTGTTGTATCTGTGTTGGGACGGAGCTCACAGAACCCGTCGGGCCGCTCTGGGATCCGCGTCACAGCACAAACGCGCCCGCCATGTCCAAGGAGGATCGATCGATTCCGGATTGGATGGCTTGAACGAATCAGACAGCTGTCGTCCAATCAATCGGAGTGTCACGAACTCGATCTGGGTGGTCCGTCACCACGTCGTTCCCGTACGCCCAATTAACCACTTATATTTCCGTATCGCGTTATGACCAATACAATACATTCTGACTGTTGTTCTCCAGTCGTGTTCTCTCTCCGGTGTTATTGTTAGGGTCTAAGGAAGGGACGCTCGTGTCGGTCGTATGTTCAGGCAGAACATAACAGTTTGATGCACCTATGCCTTCGGCGCCCGATGGAGATGGTCAAATATACCTGTTTAATCGTTGAACGTGTTGTGACCCAAACGCAATGGGCAGTAAACACGACTCAGACGGTTCAACGTACGGACGGGTACTCTTCCAGTCAAGCTCAATCAGTGAGACGCTCGGAGAAATGCGATTCTGATACCAGACCGGAGCAGACGGAAGACAAGCCCTTCAAGGGAAGTTGTTAAGTCGATTCGACCCAAAAGCTGTTTGGGGAACAAACTCATCTGTTCATATACATTTTTCAGGCCGCTAACTAGTAACCTTTCATTTGAGCTCAAAAGGTCCTTGTGACTATGTGACTTTCCCCGTCTGCTGTTAATCACACTTAGGTGTGTAATTAAAACAAATAATTGGTAATAATGACATTCACTGTAGCTGGACATTGTATTCTCAGTGTTAGATGGCTATTTCTGGAGGGAATCCCAATATATATATATATATATATATATATATATATATATTATATAAAGCCAACGAGAACAGCGCGAAAGTTGTATTCTTGAACTTTCAACGACATGACTGTTCGAGATCAAAATGTGCGCTTTATATGAACACAAATTGTTCTGGAGTGTTCTGAAATTTGTACTCAACCGATATTTTAGGTAGAGGTGACCAATAAGGTTGAACGAATTGGAAGCTCCCATGATTGCTCATACTTTCCAGGACTCTACGAAATCTCTGGAATCTGTGGTGCATTCTTACTGATTAGTCTTACTTTATAATATAAATGGGTCAATTTTACCTTCCCAACAGTTCATCGACCCGTTTATTACCCCAGTTGTTGGCTTTTTGTTCCGTACCGTGAGGGCAGCGAATAAGACTTCCTCAGCTAAGCTCATTCGTAACACTTGATCGTATTCTGAGATTTGCAAGGGAAGGATGATCAGTTTCAACGTCAGAGATCTTCCGTTATTACTCACTTCGGATCATGGTCTACGTATGCAGTATAAAGCTGACCACAGGGTCGATAGGAAGCAAACGGTTAGTATACCAGTCGCTTACTGTCATCAATAATCAACTTGACACCGATTTAGTGTTCCATTTTCTGATTCGAAACCCGTTCGTCGGACCTGTTTCCGGATAAAATAGATGGATATGAGACTACTAAACTATGTGTGATATGCGATAATATGGATGAGTGCTTGGTTATCATTAGGTTGTTCACACTCTAGTCGATGGCATATCGCCTAGGGCACTCTGGCACTAAATAACGAGTTAAATTCTTACTTGTCTGTAGTACGATCTCGAAAATTAAAATATAACTTCTGTCCGCCTGGCCCGTCGATTCAAATAGTGAGTTTTCACAATCCAATAGGCGAATGAATTTCAGGAGAAACTGGAATTTTATTTCTTACAATTTGTGTTTGACCAAATGAACTGAATTATTTTGGGTACAGTGTATGCTGCGTATAACAGAAACTTATCCTTCTTCGTTGCGTGTTCCACTTTATCCGGTCTTATTCGTAATCACCGTCTCCCGCGGACGGTGCACAGATTCGGAGGAAGCCGACGTGCAGGGTCAACCATCTGAAGTACTTGGGTGTCACACTTGAAAGCAACCTTCGCTGGTCTTTACATACCCATTTTGTTCCTCGCAAGCTGAAAGTTCTCCCGTTTCAGATAGGAAGACTGCGCCACCTCTGTTCTGATTTATCAGTGATGAGAGCTTTTGTTCAACAATGTGTTCTTCCTATACCCTTTACCCCTTTATTGTTCCCCCGTTATTTTCTTTGTTTTGCTGAAAGCTGATTTTCAGTTGCTGGTGCGTGGCTTCTCAATGATCAGCCTGTGTTTCCGAGTTCCTTTTCGTGTTCTGATTGACTATACCTTTGGTGCATCTGACAATGTTCTGTTTGGTTGCATCCATCCTTTACACATTGACCTATGTGCATGCATATACCACCCCTCCACTTGTTCCAAATACAGATTCACCCTCCTCTGGTATATCTGCCGACAGAAACTCCTTGGTACCCTATCTTGAGTGGATACTGACCACCAGGGAGGGTATTCGTTCTGAGCATTCTAATGCATTTAGTATCTTATCTTTTTATTTCACTCTCTTTTACTGAACATGCAATGGTACAATTTTCAGGAAGGGGGAAGCGGCCAATCAATTGGCTGCCATTCAACACACAATGGGTAAAGCCAGGCGGTGGTGGTGGGATTCGAATACGTCCCCGGGGTGATAATTTGGTGACGTTACCACCGCGCCACCACCGCCCAGTTCAAAGCTTGCAAATAACTCGTTAAAGCTTCAGTACAATGCTGGCTGTCAGTCGATCACCAAGAAGCAATTGGCAGAAGAGTCGGATTGGTAGTACAGCTTACACAGTTACATATCCTTCAAAAAGTTATTTTTGCACCTACGACACGAATTCGGGTATTCATTTTACTGTCTTTTCACCTGATATCTTGTTTTTTTAAATTTTACTTCTTGTCATTTTATATATAAGGATGCAATGTTCATGTCATGTTATGTTATGTTTCTCACGCGTCTGTGTCTAGACTGTACGCCAAGTAGGTCACGGTACGTTATTCTTTATAACAAATAAAAAAGGTCCATGATTCACTAAGCCTAAGGCAAAACAGGTTGTGGTAACATTCTGGTATCATCATTCCCTCAAAATTATTCGGATCTAGCTAGACAATGTTCGGCAATTGGGCTCGCACAATGAACCTAGTATTCAATCTCTGCAAACTCCCTTGACTGGGACACAGCTCAAATTCGCGATACAGTTATTTATTTGTCAGTTCGCCGTTGGGTAAACTAATGGTACATTCCGCCGCGTTAATCGAGGTTTTGGGGGCGGTTATACTGAATTTCGGTTGGTATTCAAAAAGCTTTGACAATATCATCGGCTCATTAGCAGTAACTTTCTTGCCCCTGGTTTGTGTGTTTATTCGGTCCATTGTTTGTACACAATAGTGCTTTCTTAGCTTCTTTCAAGTAACCCATTTTCAGTGAATTGTTCCATGACTAGTGCGCAATCCTTCACAGTTATGTGTACGTCAGGCTCTCACAGCATTATGTTTTCTTCCCCTTCCCCTAAACAGTCACTTATTGTGCTCTTCCGACCGTTGGAAATTCATGTGCGAATCAGTCAGGTACAAAGTGCCAAGCGAGCTGCGCGTCGAGCTACCGCCTTACGTCGAGCCGAGGCCGAACGTCTGTTGTACGAAGCCCGACAACGTAAACGAATGGCTGCTCTGGCCAAGGCGACCGAACTTCAAGGTATGGGACAAAAACACGCTATTCAACGTTCCTCGCTGGAGCCTGATACGATCGGAGTTAATAAGTTCGACGTACAAACGGGTTTGACTGCTCATTCCGGTCCGAGGCAGGTCAATGCGATCCGCGTTGTCTCCGGACAACGTGGTGGTCGTATGGGCACAGTAGTGACTAGAAATACACGCGGCGGTCGAGTGTTGCAAGTGAATCCAGCTGGAGCGAATCCGGCGATTCTCCCCAGGCCAGATGCGCCACGTGCTACGAGCACCGGGGTCGGGTGGCTTCGAAACCGCTCTTCGTCTGCTCGTGGTAAACGAGCACCAAGTCGTCGTGTGGTTGTATACCGGTAAGTACAGCGCGGTCGCTTAATTGTCTGTTGCCTCTCACCAATGACCCCATAGAGCTAATTTCCCTTCTTTGCAATGCGATTGGATAAGTTTCCGCAATTTGCGCGAGTTGTAATCCCTCAGCCTGACACTAACTGTGACCAAGCCATGACGAAGAGCAATGAAACCTTTTCTCTCAGTAAACCGGAGAAGATGGTAGTGAATTGATAGATAAGAGTGGGTAGAAAACATTGATAAAAACGAGAGTTTTTGTTAGTAAACTGTCTTAATCTGTGGATGCAGAAAGACAAACGTGTGAGTCTGTCAACAGTACTCGTAATACAACTACTTGCCATGGCAACGCCAAGGTACTTAATAGTATCCACTCTAAAACTGTGAGAACCGTCATTGTGGTAGAAGGAACTCGAAAGAGTGAAGGTACACTCAACATATTTAGATAAGTTGAGGTAAAAATGCCTGATTGCGGAAAACAGTCCCCAATGGTAGTGAGTTTATGAGATAAAGAAGGGAAACCAGAGTGATTTGAAACGGCTGAACCTGATACAATATATTATGTGTAATGAATAAATTTAACAAGTGATGGAACAGGTATCACTGAGGTAAGCAGCGTATAGGTAGGCTAAAGGACAGCGCCTTGAAGAACTCCATAATTATTCTCCAATGAACATGATAACTTCTTGCCCAGATTAATGCGCTGAAAACCGTCAGTAAAGTGCACCGTGTCTAGTTTCGTGAGCTACTTGTAATTGATTCGAAGGAACAGCTAGGGAAGAACACAGATGGCTCAGAATAGCACGTTCAGTGATTTATAGTGTTGAAGAAGTGTTTACAATGCGACGAAAACGTTTAGACAAAATGTTTCAGGTTACTTTTTTAGGGACAAGGACCAAATAAACAGGTTTCCATGGCTGAGAGTAGAGATGACATCTACGGATTTATTGGCAAGAGCCGTCATTATCTCAGTTAAGTATTCAGCACCATTCTTGAGAAGCGCTGTAGGTGAACCATCACACAACTACAGACCTTGATGTAAAGGATCGGAGAAGCCTCGAACCTTTATCTGTGGAATAAGGCTGCAGTTCGGAATAGCCCGACTTTTTAAAGGATGATAGTGTATTAGAGATGTAGTGGACGAATCCAGTAATCAGCTCATTGATGTCGGTGATGTCTAGCTTCGGAGTTATACCTGGACCAAACACGAGGTATATACCTTTTAAAATTTTCCGACCTTATCTGCTTTCAGTTGTCCAGTAAACGGTGAATTAAAAGACTTTACAAGTGATCCTGTGGAATTTCAGACCTACCGTAGTTGGATTGTGTGATTTATTGGAGACCTCCTTCACCCTTCCTAAAAACTTCAAATTAGAGGGAGGCTATCCTACCTTTACGAGGAAATATAATCTCACGTGGCCAACAGAAACTGACTTTTTCATTGAATTTCTTGTCCCGTACATTTCTGATGGAGTTAAATTTGATTATAATCGGTTTCACAGTGATGACGGTTATCCAAAGATTCAAAGATTTATTATGGGAATAACTTACAAGCTCATGCTTTTCTGGTCCCATAGGTTCGTGCGGTAGATTAAGAAACAGTGATACATACAATTCTTTTTGTAAACTGTCACGTGATACGTGCGTTTTCCACTGCTCCACGCAGCTTCACTTATGTTGGAACGTAAGATGTGCTAGTGTTTCATCAAACCTCAGTTTGAAAGACTCAATGCTTGGAGCACAGACGACGTAAGATGGTGGAGAGTTCCAGATCGAACACACTCTGACTGCGAATGACTGACGCCGGCATTCCAAGCGGCATTTTGAGACCACTAGTTTAAATGCGTGTCCTCTAAGATGAACGTTGGGTGATAATTTCAGAAACGGGCGACACGGATGGCTTGGGTTTTGCATTATTCAG